AAACAAAACTAAAAACAACATCAATATTTTCCTTTCATTCATTGCAACCAGAGTAGCCAAAAGAGACGTAAAGAGGATGCATAGCACCTTTAACAGCTACCGAGTGGCACACCCTTCCTGTATAAGAACGACAGCTTGCACTCGTCCTATGCAGTATAGAATTGCGCGGAAGCAGGAAGCTCCAAACCACAGACTGCACAGGCCTTCCTGACACAGCCGTAACATCAGCCAGTGCACCAGAGCAGAAAGACAAACAGTGTGGCCTTATAAAGAGCGAAATGTGTGTTATTCGATGCGTGTAAACAGAGGGAGAGCCTTACTGTCCATATTTTGTTGGATGAGTTCACGAGGTTTGTCGTGCTCTCCTGGAGTTCAGCCAGCTTCTTCTTCATCACATCTTCTCTCCACAGAGCCTCCTGCCAGAAACCCAGCAGCAGCAGAAAGAGTTACACTAACGCACAAAGACAGTTTTCATCTGCTTTGGACTGCACAGGTCCTTAAGTAGCATCGGAGCACATTAATTACTTAATATTGAAAGCAGTAGTGATGAAAGATCAAATGTGATGAGAGCTTAAGCGTTTAAAACCAAGCGTATTATATCTGATTAGTGAGTTTACATCATCAACGTGATTATTTTTCTTCCCCACAAAAAATAAAATAAATTGCACTGTACAGTTTTAAGGAATAAATTGCAAAAATAAGCCTAATGTAGCTAATATGATACAACTTTAATTTCTAATTATTATTTCTTATTTCAGAAGGGCCACTAAACACAAAAAAATGTGACTTTTCTGGCATCTATAGGTTCAGGCTTTCAAACCTTAAAGGATTCATGAATCACAGGATGATTTTAGGATAAATATTGTTTGCTTACCTGTAGGTAGTCAGCTAATTTCTGAATATCCTATTAGGAGAGAGATAAGAGACAGTAAAAACAGTAGAGCTTTATAATTAAAGAAAAAACCTTTGCATCAGATTATAGAGCATCTGTTTCCCCTCAAATTAGCCTAAACTTTATTTCGACTAATCATGTCGTGTGACGCCTTTTAATCTAAAAATCTAAAACAGCAGGACTGTGAAACTTACTGATTCTTTAACGGTGATGAGTCCGGACCTGCACAGATTACAGTTTCTCATTAGAGAGAGAGGAGATCAGAGATGCCTTTTGCAGTAAAATCGCGGTTTAAAGGTTAAACTAGAATTAAATGAGACTCACTCTGTCTGCACGCCGGTCTCTCTCAGTATCTTTTTCTGAAGAATGCTTTCAGTTTGTACAGATGATTTCTGGTAAATCTTCTCTGTTTTGATGAGTGTTTTTGTGGTTGTCTTTTGTGCTGTATGTGGAGAAAAACAAGGCATGGTTCAACAGTTCCTGGTCAAAATGTTTTGGGCTTTGCACGATGATTTATTCTTTTTACCGTTTACACTCGTGTCCTTTTTGTGAATACTTTTCACCCTGTGCTGCTCTGATTCCTTCACAGATGGCGTGGAGGTAGGTGATTGCTTCTTTGCATGACTTTTGTCCTGCTTCATCACCGTTATCTGTTCTGACCACAGTGAGGCCTGAGGGAATGAGAGGAGAGCGACGGGGCAGGTATTATTCACAGCAGACCTACGAAGACATAAATCTGATGTCGTGATAAATGTGCCGAATTGACGCAATCTTTTACCCATGTGCTGGTGCTTTGATCACTGCTTATGCTGCTGTTTGGTGTCAAAACCATGGGCGGATATCCTTTAGCATTCTCCGTGTTTGTTGAGCTTGAACTGTAATACTTCATTGAAAATATCTGTGAGGGAGATTTTCTTCTCGATGAGCCTTCACGGCACACTGGGCTCACCGATCTCCTCCTCAGAAACTCCAACTGCCTCTTCTCTTTCAGTTCTTTCTTTATCTGCCAGGTGGTACTGTCTCTGGGAGGGCTGCGGCATGAAGTCACATTGTTACGTCCTCGCAGGTACTCACGCTTCTCTGCTCTGATGTCCAATATTCGGTCAAAGTGTTTCTCCGGCGAGAGTTGGAATCCACTGATGGCCAGGGCGTCCATGGCAGCTCCCCTGGCTGTTATGTCGCCTCAAGCCTGCGAGGACAGCGTAGCTTATCAGGAAACTGGTTACAGTCATTCACAAAGATCTAATTCATGGCATGTTATTAGCTGAGTACTATCAAGTGATGTTGCGAGTAGCTAAAAAACAGCTTTCTTTTAAGTTGCAGAAACATTGTGATGGCTAAAGGTTATAAATGAAGAAACTCAAACTGCTACTTACTTTAAAGAAAAGGTCTGAAATGTAGCTTCCTACCAGGGTTAGTGTAAATGAGAATTTATGTGTATGATGAGGTCATGCTGCAAACTGATGTGAGCTGTATACGCATTAAAAGTAAACTGCCAAAAGTGCCTGATGTTTAGAAAGCTGTGTGTGTGGAGCAGAAGCGGTTGCAATAGTAGCTCAGAAATACTAATGCAGAAGCTGAAACTTACAGGAGAAGCCCCTTAATTACAGGGTGAAGCACTTCTCATCGATAGACTAGGCCCTGGCACCTGCAAGATGATAAAGCGAGGACAAACTGCTGCTTATTAAGCAGGAAACCATGGTTGAGCCTTACCTACTGGGCCATCTCATTCAGTGGGGAGAGCTCTTCATGAGGCTGTTGATAAGTCATCCATTTTCTCACTCTTCTGAAATAGTGCCGGGTTTTTTTCGTGCCTGTGTTTCACATGTAGCTGTTTCTGTTGAGCATAGTTTTTACAGGAAGTGAAGAGAACCACAGCGTCATATGTTCCTCTATCTCACCAGCCACTCACACAAAACTGATGCCATACACGGGTGGGCCTCGAGATTACAGACAGACACAACTAATTCCCCCCTGTGTGCAGCCTGGGATAAAACACTTGGGAGATTGGGGTATGTGTGTGTGTGTGTGTGTGTGTGTGTGCTTTATTAGATGAGTATTTTTATTATTTGCAAATGATGCATGTGGGCTTGAACACTTTCATTAGTTAGTTTTCTTGTGCATGCTTGTGTGTATGTAACAGTTAACTTACATAACAATAACACTAAATAGCAGTTTGGCTTCATATTCTGTGTGGTGCCGTTTTTGTTTAAAGTCAGCAACCTTTCAAGATGAATTGATCCAGAAAACTTGATTTTATCATAAAAAATTACCCCAAATTCTCTGCATTAACTCCTCCTTAATCACTTCTATTAATCCGAATTAAATTTCAGGGCAGTGTGTGTGTGTGTGTTTGCACGCAGTGCCCACTAGAGGGCGTTGACTCCACAAGCGCTTCTGTACTCTCGCGTTGTTTCACGAGGATTTCTCCTGTGTCCGCCATCCTTGCTGCTCTTTGCAGAGAAGGGCACAGAGAGGCCGAAACAAGAGTGCCCCGGTGTTGTAGGAACTTGGTACTTCATCCTTCAGACATGCTGTCCAGGCTCGTTTTTGTCTCAGGTATGCATCAGAACAGCTTTTAAAATGATAATAAAGGCCACTTACTGCTGGTGCCAGCAGACTGTCAAGCAGGAGGCAGGAAAGTTTAAAGTGAGCTGAAGGGTAAAGTGAAGGCCGCACATTGAATGAGACATGCTAATGCTAACTGTCAGCATAGCTTCAAGCTCCTCGGAAATGGTAGCAATTTTATTGGCTGCAGATTTATATCAGACGTTATCAAAGGTAATCCTGGATATTTCAGTGTTTCTGTATTTTGTTGTTTTAATTATTTGGTCACAGGCAAGTTAATCGACGCTACGTTAGCTAACGTTAGCGCTGCACGCCTAAATGTCACCTTATTGACAGCTAGCATCGGTCGGCTTTCTGCCCTTTCTGCGATGTTTTATGGAAAAGTTTGTGTTAATTTTGATGACCTCACAAACTGGACTGCTTGATGTGCGTTTAAGGTGTACACAGTTTGACCGTTAATGTTTTCAGAAGTTTGTTGTTAATGGTGTTTATTGAGAAAACAGTAATTAACACTTGTACTTTTTTGTGGGTTCCAGCTAGTGCCCTGAAAAGCAGTGGCCCCATTGGAGCTGGGTATGTGTCATTGTAGTGTTGAAAGTGTGTTTTAATACCAATATTCAATAACATAGCAGAAAGAAATGCTTAGTAATCGTGGTTTTCTCCCTCAGTGTGGTCCATGCATCTCGCTGTCTGCACACATCATCCCAGAGTCTGGCTCCGGTGCCCCCTCTGCCAGAGAAGGGAGGGAAGGTCCGCCATGGCTTCATCCCAGAGGAGTTATTCCAGCTGCTGTACCCCAAAACTGGAGTAACAGGTGTAGTCTTTAATCAAAAAGGATCATTTAATATTATTCACATGTTGTCTTAAAGAAAATAAGTGAAAAGTCACAGAAAATTGATTGTGTGGACACAGTATTTTCACTGAATCAACTGGATTCTTCAACTTCTCTTTTTGCAAGGACTACTTAAAGACTGGTATGTGATTATGAGCAAACAGCAATTTGCTTCCACTGAAAGCATCCAGATGATTGGTGAACGTACTTCATTTGACAGAAACAGAACTTTTGAAAACTCCTGTTTTTGTGAACGCATTCACAATAAGTATTTGTTTAAAAAAACAAACCTGCAGCGTGAATGTTTTTTTTCTTCATACCTTTACAAAAAGAAATGAATAAGCCAATCAAAAGCAAGTAAGAACAAAAGTGAAAAATAAGTCTAACAATTAAGATTTTTTCATAGATGGTTCTTAAGATTCTGTTTAAATATATCAACAGTCTCCAAAGATCTTAAGTGCAATGATAGTTACATATCTCACTTTTACTTTGTATTTCCCCTCTTCTCTCAATAGGACCCTACATGCTGGGTACTGGCCTCCTCCTGTACATGCTTTCTAAGGAAATCTATGTCATCAACCACGAGACATTCGCTGCAGCCTCCATAGGAGCTGTGATCATCTATGGTGTGAAGAAATTTGGGCCAAGTGTTGGAGCTTTTGCTGACAAACTGAACGAGGTAGGCTGATAACCACTGCTTTTGTTTCTTTCTGTTTTTTGTGGTTTCATATCCCTTTTGTCAAGTTTTATTTATTTATTTTGTTTGGACACAGTGGAGAGAGTACTGTACCAAAGGACATTTCTCTTGTGCACGACCTTTCCAATGACCCCAATATTTTCTGCTGCTTTTGTCTTCAGGAAAAAGTGGCCAAGGCTCAGGAGGTGAAGGACGTCGCCATGTCCAGCTTGGTTCAAGCCACTGAGGATGAGAAGAAGGAGCAGTGGCGAGTAGAAGGAAGGGCGATGCTCTTTGATGCCAAGAGGGTAAGCATCGCCATCCTTTCATTTCAGTTTTTATATTCCAGTATCGTAACTGTTAAGTACTCCAGTTAACATTTTGTCAGCTGTCACCTTCAGCTCCAAGAGCAGAAGAATTATAACCTTGTGTGGGTCTGTAGTGTAGTGGTTAATACATTAGCCCTAAGCAGTCACCACAGCTGGTAGCTCTGTATGTTTGATTTAGCTGATATTTTTACACCTGATGCCGTTTCTGATACAATTCAAAGTGAAATCTCTCCTACTGGGATCAAACCAGGGAGATTCTGCTTTATAGGCAAATTCATAAACAAGTACACCGTGCAGCAACTTTTCCATTAGTACCTACTCACGCCGGCTTGGCTCAGTGCGGTTTATAGGGTTTTTCCATTTGGTCATAGTACCTGATACCTGATGCCGGGACCATTAGTCCTTAGTACCTAGTTGGCCGGGGTTCCAAGCGATCTGAAAATGTTCGTCATCAACTGGCTAGTCCTTTACAAAAATCAAAACGGACATCTTTGAAACTCTGCAAGGGAAATGGCTACAAAAAACAATGCCGGGGTCCCCGAGTCTGACGAAAAGCCACTGACCAAGCAGCAGGTATCACATCACTTTGACGTACACCTTTGTTGTGGCGTTCGTGTTGCGTACAAATGATGTCACGGGACGTTTAGCCGTGTTGCAATAACAACACGGTGCATATAGGTGGTACTAGACAAGTACTAATGGGTAAAGAGGCTTTAATCTGCCAGTGTCTACAACAGAGACGACGCCTAGTGATAAAATAAATGATTACATCAATATTTATTTTTTGATCCTTGGTGAACTTGTTGATCGTGGCGTGACATATGACTAATGGTCATTTGTAACATTACTCTCGTCTTATTATACAGTGCTCCATTTTATTTTCAATGTCAATTTTAAAAAAAAAAATTTCCATCAGTTTCTCTGATTAAAGTAGGCAGTGCTCAGATGGATTTATTGTGGCTGAAGTAAACGCCCGTTTGTGAGCGCATGTTGATCCTGAAGCTGAAAACCTGGGTTAACAAAGAGTTGATACCAATTATCTGCGACTGAGTTTTAGGTTTTGTCAAGCAAGCTAACACAATGACGGCCTGGCTGTGTTGAACTTGCTTTGTAGTGTACCCCACAGTACTCTGTGGGAACCAAACGGTCTGTGGCGAGACTTATTTTTTTGTTAATGTGAGTTGTTCATCACTCTGGGTGGCTGTACCAGTGTTGATAATAACTGGGTACTTTCAAAATGACATTTTTCAGTTTAATGATACCACTGTTTGAAATATGCTGAATAATATGTAGGTTAGACTCGTTCTCCACCTTTTACTCTCATGCAATTTTAATGTAATTAATTTGGCAACAAAAGGAAAAATAATATGAGGCCATTCCTGGCTTATTATTCCATCCATCCATTTTCTGCCGCTTATTCAATTTTGGGATGTGGGGGCAGCAGTCTGACAGAGATGCCCAGACTTCCTCTTCCAGCTCATCTGGTAGGATGGTGAGATGTGTCCAAACTCTTTGAGAGACATCTCTCCGATGTGTCTTGGGTCTTTCCTGGAGCCTCCTCCCTGCCGGACATGCTTGAAACACCTCACTTAGGAGGGTCCAGCAGGCGTTCTAGTCACATGTCTGAATCATCTAAGTTGGTTCCTTATGATGTAGTGGAGTAGCATTTCTGCTCCCTCCTGAGTGACTGAGCTCATCACCCTATCTCTGAGAGAATCCAGCCACCCTTCAGAGGACGCTCATTCTTTCAGTCACTGTCTGAACACTAACCGTTAGTCCTGGGCCTAGCCTAATATTTATCTAATTTTAAACAATTTTTCAGCATGATTATTTATTTATTTATTTGTTTGTTTGTTTGTTTGTTTGTTTGCCTCCTCCAGGAGTAGTCTGTGAAAAGAAAATGTGTAACTTTCTGAATCCAACCACATGATGGTGCTCATTCTCACACTAATGGAGAATTTCCACTCAAAATAAACTGTCAGTGTACAAATGTTGCCAGATTTTGGACTGACAGTAACATTTTAACAAATATAGCTAAACTATCTTGTATAGATGTCACAATAGAATGAATTTAATTCTTTAGTCTGTATATAAATGCATTACAAATCTGACAGCCCTAATTTGTTTGGGACAAATCACTACATGATTGAATGTCTGAACATGTCCTGACTGAAAACACATGTTTTACTTCAGTTATATCTTTTGTTAAAAGTTTTTTTTTGAAAAAGTATCCCTAGAGCTGGAATTTCACATTAAAGCTGTTACAGTTAAACATTCCTATCTCCTGTTTTCCTCTCAGAACAACGTGGCCATGCTGTTGGAGACCAACTACAGGGAGAGGCTACATATGGTGACCAATGAGGTGAAGAGGCGCTTGGACTATCAGATTGCGGTGCAGGACCTCAACCGTAGGCTGGAGCAAGAGCACATGATTAACTGGGTGGAGAAGAGCGTCATCAGCAGCATCACACCCCAGCAGGTCAGTCTTTCTTTTTCTTATTTCTTTTCTAGCTTAGGGTGCTGACATCCAATAAATAAAACTACTGTGCCCCATTCTTCAAAATATTTAGACAAAAACCTTTTTATTTATTTTTTATGAAATGTAAAAACCAAACAACAGAAATCTTTAAGGATTTAAAAAAAATAAAAGTCTCATATTTGGGCCGTGATGGTTTAGTTTGTCAGATATTTCATGTTTACTGATTTGCTTGTGTTTGTTTTATATCGGCAAAGCTCGTGTTGGCAGAAAAAGTCTTGGTGGAAGATTTTAAAAAATGTCAATGTTTTTTCTTTAATTTGTTATATGCATATGTATTTTTACTGTCTAATCAATTCACTTCTAAACCAACTCCTTGTATGTTTCAAAGTTTTAATATATTTTTTGTTTTTTTAGGAGAAGGAGAGCATTGCCAAATGCATCACAGACCTGAAGGTGTTGGCCAAGGCCACTCAGGCCAAAGCTACAGCCTAAACTGTCATCGCTCTACAGAAGCCTCCTCTAGTCCCAGACTCATCGCCCGAAGACGAGACGTCACTTTTCTTTGCAGAATAAACTATTCTTTCTTTATAGATTGTCTCTGTCAGCGTTATGGGTGTGTACAGTATTTACACGTCGGCAGATGGTAAAATAAATGGTTCTCTTATCATCTTCAGCTGGTTGTGTCTTTCTTATTCAGAGTTTGCTCTATTTTGAGTGACATCACAGTTTAATATCCATGGTAGAGTATGCTTGAGATAGTGGCACAAGAATAGGAACACTTGAGACCTTTGATCCCCCTGTAGGAAGAGGAGGAGGTGCTATGAATAATTTCAAAACCTTTGGACTCATAATGTGCCACTACCTTTTTTCCATACTTCAAATACTTATCCTCAAGTGACAAATTGGGCCGGCCCTTGCGATCTGTCACTCCCATCACGTAGTTGCACTTTGATCCTGCTGCTTTCACGAGGAAGTTAAGGAAATTTTTCTCGAAGCGGTTTGTGAGGAACACACCCGCTATGAGACCTGTTGGTGCAAAATTTGTTTGAAAGAAGGGAACGATGACACCGGAGCAGAGCTGAGGCTACAAGGTAAAACAACATGCAGCAGTTATGTAAAGGTCAAGTGACAGGTTGTATAGGAAGTGGTTTAAAAAGGAAAAAGCTGCTGACAGCAGCACTGTGTCCTGCTCTGAAATGTGACGTTGCTTTTACAGAGAGTGTGTAGTTGTTGCCATGAAA